TCCTTTGAGGACCATCTCTCTGGCCTCCATTGTGTGGAGTTAATAGGATGCACTGCCCAGCTGGTGGAGAGTTGGCCGCTGACCGGTTGCTGCCTTCTGGCTGGGCCGTGGCATCCGAAGGAATGTTCATCTCCTCCTTGGAGCAAATAAAGGCCCTTTCAGGGGAGTCTTGGAACTGCCGGCCCTCCAATCTGTTTTATTATATTTATTCTTACTTTTCTTTTACATAAGCTTCATAGTAACCCATCTCAAAGCACCACTCTGCGCGCCTTACAGTTCAAATATAGGTATATACTAGCTGGATACCTGTGCTTCGCTAGGAAACCATGTGATCGGGCCAGCCCGCAGGCCGGGTGAGTCACGCGTTGGCCACGCCCCATATAAGGCAACTGGAAGTTGGAACAGAGTTCCTTTCAGGTGGGGAGGGGGAGTAGAACTCCTTAGCATCGGTGTGTGTTAATTACTGTATAAGAATTACTAATGATCTGATGGTCATTTCAAAAAAATCCTTTCTTGGCGAGCACCTAGAAGCCAAGAGGAACATAATGTGCCAAATTTCAAGTTTGTAGGCTTTACGGTTCTGGAGATTTCGTGATGAGTGAGTGGTAGTTGGCTTTCATATATATATATAGATTATGTTTATGAAGATGTCCACCGATCAACAATATTTGGCTTGAGTCTTAAGTTTGTGCTACATGAATTCATTTGATTTGTGCTAGAAATTCTGTTGTGTACAGCCCTGGAGAATGAAAAAGCACCATGCTTGTCACTATGGACTTGCTGCTTAACTGTTTTAACTGTCACCGTCACAGAAACACGTCTTTCACAACATGAGGACCACAGAGTACAGGGCCTAGATTATACCTAGCAAAACCTACAAACGCTGCCATCTACTGGTTGAATGGTGTTGTAGTTGTTGCAAATTATACATTCCAACAATGCACAGGCAAGCCACAATTGAGCTCCAAATTTACGTTGCTAAGTGAAACGTTTGTGAAGGGACTTTTGCACCCCGTTTTACAACTTTTCCCGCCTAAATGCTTAAGTTGAATCACTGCCGTTCTTAAATTAGCAACATGTCGTTAAGTGAATCTGGTTTCCCCATTCATGTCGTCAGAAGATCGCCAAAGATGTGATCCCATATTCATTTTATGTGAGATATTCTGAATTTTGAATAAATGTATAGTATGGCATTTCATTACATCATCCTAACTCCATCCAGTAATAGTACATCTTTGTATTATATTCTGTATCATTCCATTATCCTTGTATTGTAAAATTCTCTTAGCATATTTCACTTCCATATTTTTTTGTCTAACCATTGATAAAATAAGTCCCATGTTTTATAAAATTGTTTATCTTTGGTTACAAAACATTTGTGCCTCCTCTCCATAGCCCTCATTTACAATTTATATAAAATCTCATATTATGAATCTAGTATTTATGTATACCTTATTATCACCGTTAATCATTTATTTGACTATAACTATTATTACTTCATTTTATGCGAAATATCCTAAATTTTAATAAATTTAAATTAATATTTATTATAGCATTTCATTACATCATCCTGGATCCATCCAATAAGTAATGCAATCTTTTATCTCTTGCCATCTGTAGTATTTGTGTTCTAATAGCTTTCTTGATAAATCTTATATGGACATCTCTCGGCAATTTGTTTTTCACTGCATATCTTGTAAAGACTCAAAACGTCTTGTCAATTCCTTCCATCATCTTCCCTTTGGTTACCACCAACGCTTCTGCCAGGATTTCTATCATTATTTCTGCCAAATTTTCTCCCTTTTCTTCTTCTACATTCTGGGGTCTGGGGTAAAATTCTGATCTGTCGATCTCCCATTCCAACATACCACTCTTATTGACAAAGATATTGAAGAGTATGGAGAGAAGCAACTTAGAAGCAACTGAGGGGCTGCCCCAAAGAGGAGGGGGGGTCAACTTAACTTCCAAAGCACCAGCAGGCTGGACAAGAAACAATGGACAGAAACTAATCCAGGAGTGAAGCAATGTGGAATTAAGGAGAAACTTTCTAACAATGAGGACAATTAATCAGTGGATTAATCGCCTCCAGAAGTTGTGAATGCTCCGATACTGGAGGTTTTCAAGAAGAGATTGGACCACTATCTGTCTGGAATGGTGTAGGGTCTCCTGCTTGAGCAGGGGGCTGGAGTCGAAGACCTCCAAGGTCCCTTCCAGCTCTATTCTGATTCAATGGATGGAAATTAATCCAGGAGAGAAGCAACTTGGAACTAAGGAGTTAATTTCCCAACAGTGAGAGCAATGGAATAGCTTGCACTCCAGATGGGTGCTCCACCACTGGAGGTCTTTAAGAAGAGGCTGGACAGTCACTTGTCTGAAATGGTTGAGGGTTCCTATTTCCCACAGCAGGGGGTTGGAGTAGAAGACCTCCAAGGTCCCTTCCAACTTCCAACTCTGTGAGTCGGTTATTCTGTGCTCCTATGACCCAGGGAGCTGAGATGTTTCATCAAGAGAGCTGAGATGTTTGACCAAGGGAGCTGGGATTTCCAACCAAGGGATCTGGGATCTTTGACCAAGACTGCTGGGATCTTTGACCAAGAGAGCTGAGATCNTCTAAGTGCTATTGCTATATGCATTTCTTCCCTTCCGTGCCTATCTCTACCTTTGCAAGAAGCCCTCTGAAAGATAGGCATTTAAGTAAAAACAAACAACCTTCACTGTTGCTAATGAAGTTTGAAATCTTGAGAAAAGTTTAATCAAGCCAACTAAGTAGCAGTAAAAATGCCACAGGATGAATAATAAATAAATTAATAAACAATTAATCAGTGGAACAACTTGCCCCCAGAAGTTGTGAATGCTCCAACACTGGAGGTTTTTAAGATGGTGTTGGATATCCATTTTTCTGAAGTGGTGTAGGGTTTCCTGCCTAAGCAGGGGGTTGGACTAGAAGACCTCTAAGGTCCCTTCCAACTCTGTTATTCTATATTTTCTATTATAAATAAGCACGCAGCGTAAACACATTTCTGCTTACATTGGGTAACTTGTGTGATGCTTCCGGATGGCTTCAAGTTCTCTGTTTATAAATTTCGGGAACTTCTTCACAATTCCTGTCCTCTCTCCACTGGATGCATATGGGAAGCTGAGGATCTCCATCAGGTCTGTAAAATAAATAAATAAATAAATAAAGACCTTTCTTAATGCAATTAAGGGAATTGCAAAGAGTCCCATGTGGCTTTGATGGGTTTTGCAAACAAACAAACATTTAAAAATATCATCTAATAAATGATCTAACTAGTAACTAATCTAATTATTCTATTGGTCTCTAGCCTATTCCTAAACCTTGGCTAATGAATGATTCAGGAATTATCTAATACATAGTCTATTTGTCCCAGGCCATCTCTAACACTAACCTCTAACTGCTGCATTCTAACCCCTGGGAAATAAGGGAGGGAGGGAAGGTGGGTTGGGGTTTGAGAGGTAGCAATAGCACTTAGACTTATATAATGCTTCACAGCCTCTCTAAGCGGTTTTACAGAATCAGCCTCTTGCCCCCCAAAAATCTGGGTCTTCGTTTTAGCAACCTTGGAAAGGTGGAAGATTGAGTCACCCTTGAGCCTGTCAGGATCGAACTGCTGGCAGTCAGCAGAATTAGCCTGCAATGCTGCATCCTAAGCCCTGTGCCTCCACAGAAGGAAGAAAGGGAGGTAGAGAGGACTAGGAATAGCACTTGGACTTATATACCACTTCACAGTGCTTTACAGTCCCTCTCTAAGCGGTTTACAGAACCAGCTTCTCACCCCCAACAATCTGGGTCCTCATTTGACCCACCTTGGAAGGACGGGAGGCTGAGTCAACCTTGAGCAGGTCAGGATTGAACTACTGGCAGTGGGCAGAGTCAGCCTGCAATACTGCATTCTAACTACAGGGAAGGAAGGAAGGAAGGAAGGAAGGAAGGAAGGAAGGAAGGAAGGAAGGAAGG